TCCTTTCGATTTTTTTCCCCAAAAACGTATGTTTCTTTTTTCTCCACCGCGTAACAACTCTGCACACTTTTGCAAAGTGATTCCATTTTCCACATTAGTACACTGTTTGCCTTTAGCTGGGCAATTCCCCTTTTTCGCCATGCACTTTGTATCCACAATATCCACATGTTTTGGGGCTTTTGGAGTCTGTGTCGCCTGTTTTGGAGTTCTGTCTGTCTCCGTTCTAAAAACATGCTCTCGGGGCACTGGGGGTGTGCTTTGATGTCTGCCTGACTGCGTGCACTGCTTGTTCACTGATGCGCTCGTGCTGCCGCCCAAATGGTTTTCATCTGAACCTGTGTAGCTCGTGAGATCTGGCTATGTCGATAGCTTGGTCCAGCGTTAAATCTGATCCAACTTTTCAAAGTTCTCTTCACTCGGGGTGAGTGTATTCCAACATCGGTCCCTGACCATCTCATCCTTGTTTGCATAATCACAGTCTTTCACAAGCAGACGAAGCTCAGTGACAAACTTTTTAAAAACGTTTCGCTAGCGCCTTGTACATTCTCAGGGAAATTTTGAAACCTAGCGAAAATTGTATTGGTTTTTGGGCACTACATAATGCTTCAAACGATCGTAGTATTTTTCAGTACCTTTGATTCAGCCTCGGTAAGTGGTCCATGTGTTGTAAATGTCTCCCCTTTTTCACCATCCAGAGGAGCAGGTAGCTGCACTTTCCTCTTCTCCTCTTTCCTTCAGAGGCCCCCGTGAACATCAGCTCCACATGCTGTTTGAACTTACGCCATGCATCGGGTAGTTTTGGGTGGGACCCCCAATCCATTCGAGGTGAAGGAACTCCAGCAAAATCCATCTTTTAGTCCTTTTACTTTTGAACCCATGTCTTGTTTTTGTATGCTTTGTACAAAAATAAATAAAGGACGACGGATATTTATAACGTAGCTCTTTATTAACTAGCTATAAACTGGCATGTCCATGTGTCTCTGGCCATGATCATCTTTAGAATGACCTCACCACCTGGGTGGTCTTAACCAATCATGCACAGTATGATATGACAGTATAATGCATCCAATTACAATTCAGTATGCTGACAAAATATGAATATTAAAACCCGCGCTTTCCTCAACTGGGAATTCGTTTTTTCCTACCAAACTCTCCAGTTCAGTTCTTTTCATTCATTTATTTTTCAGAAAAGTATTTTTAAAATGTTTTTTACCATATTGCACCATCAACAAATTATTTCAAATATTTAGCCTACTTCAGGGAGCTCTTGTCTCCCCGTGACTATTTTCCCTCTATGTAATACTTTTAAATGTGGTGTAATAACTTGCCACTCTGCAAGGATGGTTAAAGAATGATCCACCCTGACATTTGCATGTCTGTAGCCTACCCCTGGAAAAAAAGATACATGGGTAGACATGTTTTAAATGCAAACTTCTTTACCTTCTTAGGTGTTCTGGTAGAATTTGGGACTTTGAATGTTGTTAATGGCAAAATCTAGAACCCGAATTTCTAAAATCTAGAACACACATCAACACAGTTTATCATACTTTATTTGTGGGGGAAACCCAAACAGGTACTTAAAAGAAGGTTAAAACCGAGTGTACATAGGAGAGCAGTATTCACAGAAATATAGCCATGTCTTCTCCCAAAGTTTTAAATACTATTCTTTAATTCTCTATAATATTTTTTATAATAATGATACAATAAAAGCTTGTGTACTGGTCCTGCAGCTTTTTCATATGTTGTCGATGATGTCATTGTTGTGTTACGGGGCTCCATTTTTTTTTTCCCCAAAAAAAGGAAAATTAAAAGAGTTATGATTTCTAACCCCATAACAGGCACGACGCCATCCGGCGTATGATGGTGATGTATTGATGACCCCCAATCACTCACAAAAGAGACTGAAAGAAAGAGGGATAGATAGACAGAAAAAAACAAAGAGAGAGAAGAGATGTGCCCCTTTTGAATACTTCAGAAATGCTTCCTTCCTTGAAGTAATCACTAAATCTGATTTGGTTGGGCCGGTCAGAGTAATAAGACCGTCACCTTGCTTTCACCTGTCCAATCACCAATGGATCTGTGCTTACCCGAAAAAAAGGATGCATCTTTCAGTATGCGAACAGAGCAGATAAGCTTGATGTTGGAGAGTGGTCAGTAACAGTTGGAAAACGGGCATCAGTTCATAGTAAGGTTGCTGGGGGGTTGGATGTTGAATTTGGGACCCCCTGGTTGAGACCCCCTCTTCCGCTGCCCTGACCCCCAATCCCTGATCTTTGACCTCCAGGTGGGAAATTCCAGAGCTGTGTGCTGAGGTCTGACCGGAGGGTGAAGCGGCCCAGCTCCCATGGGGAGGCAGGCTGACCGAAGGCCATGCCCCCCGCACCGTTCAACTCATCCCTGACATCTGCTGGTTCATCTGGGGAAAAAGAGAGAGACGAGGGTAAGGTAAAGGTGTCAGGGTCAGGGAAACACAATATTGCCTAATGCAAAATCAAACCCCTTACCCCAATGCATCATATCGATCTCAGAAATTGGATAGTTTATGGCAATATGTAACATTACCTAATTAAGTTAACTCCCAAAGATACTGATCTTGTTTTCTCATTAAACCATCTTATACTTCAAATGCAAAGCTTACTCCTGGGGGAAAAACCCCCAATATGCCAAAGAACGAGACAACAAAATACTACCATACCTGTCCCTGTTCCACTGGCCCTGCTGCCCAGGCTGGACGGCATACATTCCTGCATGCCCTGAGCGGGCACCATACCCGCGGGCATCCCCCCCGGGGTACCCCCATCATCCTCGGAGCCATGCCAACCATCCCGGCCGCGGGCGCTTGTCCCATAAACCGTTGGGCATCGTCATGCCAACCATCATGCCTTTTGTGGGGTCCCATCATGGCGGCTCCGCTCTGAGCCATCATGGCACCCATGACTGTGGGGGGGGGCATGCCCGTGCCCATGCCGGGAAAAGGCCTGGTAGCCGTGGGACCTGCTGCTGGGGGATGCCTACTGAAACTGCATCTGGGGGGGGTTCATGTATATACCAGCTGGAGCGGAGAAAGAGAGGAGAAATACTGAGAACAGGGTTGCCACAGTTTGTCTTTCTTTCAAAATAAAACGTTCTGTTAACCTTTATGACGGTCTTGCCACAGATAAACTGAGAAGTGGGAAAGTGACTGAACAACTTGGTTGGTGACTTGCTACTTTAGAAGTGTTTGGTATTTACACTATATAGCCCAGATCCAGTTGGGGACCATTTCCAACCTCTGTGTTTGGTTGGTGTGTGTTGTGTGGTGTGTGTGCATGCACTTGTGTTTGCGTGCACATGCCCAAAATGAGGCATGACAGGGCGACCGATTTTACTGTCATATGCGCCTAAATATTTTGCTGTGCGACCTGGATATTAATTTAGGAGCACAAGTGCGCCTGGATTTTAAAAAAATCCCCCAGATGATAATTGTTGTAATGATTACTTCACTGTACCGAAGCCCCTGAGTGCCATGGAGAATACACTGAGCACAGGATTCATTACTATAAAGGAAAACGGCTTGTTAACCTCATATTTGTCATTGTGCTCCTAAATGTCTTTGTGCTGCTCCTACATTTTTCAACTTAGGCGCACATGTGCTCCTTGTAAAAAGGTCAGTGTAGAGCCCTGCATGAGTGTACAGTATGTGCATGTGTCGCTTGTCTGTATTTCTCCTTACCAGGCGGTGCCTGCTGGTGCTGGGGCATCTGAGGCATACTGGTGTTCCCATACAGTGGACAGGATGGAGTCCTTGGAGAGGTGTTTCTTGGCCCCGGTGGTCCTCCCCCTTAATGCCAACTCCACCACCAGTCTCACTGGAACATGTCCAGGTCTCCCCTGGGTAGAGCCTGAGGATGGGGTTGCTGCTGGGGGTTGTGTTGGGGTGCTGGCTGGGGTACTGGAGCTAGCCTGGAAGAAGGAAGCAAAAACTGTAAGAAACTACGTAAGAAAAGTCGCTAACCATATCAGTCTCTTGATCTTTCAAACTTCTCTCACGCTAACATGCACTGGCCTGCATGCATGGATGGATATATATATATATACAGTTGAAGTCTGAAGTTTACATACACTTAGGTTGGAGTCATTAAAACTTGTTTTTTCAACCAATCCACAAATTTCTCTTAACAAACTATAGTTTTGGCAAGTAGGTTAGGAAATCTACTTTGTGCATGACACAAGTCATTTTTTCCAACAATTGTTTACGGACAGATTATTTCACTTATAATTCACTGTATCACAATTCCAGTGGGTCAGAAGTTTACATACACTAAGTTGACTGTGCCTTTAAACAGCTTGGAAAATTCCAGAAAATTATGTCATGGCTTTAGAAGCTTCTGATAGGCCTAATTGGACATCATTTGCGTCAACTGGAGGTTGTACCTGGGGATGTATTTCAAGGGCCTACCTTCAAACTCAGTGCCTCTTTGCTTGACATCATGGAAAATCAAAAGAAAATCAGCCAAGACCTCAGAAAAAAATTGTAGACCTCCACAAGTCTGGTTCATCCTTGGAGCAATTTCCAAACGCCTGAAAGTACCACGTTCATCTGTACAAACAATAGTACGCAAAGTTAAAACACCATGTGGACCACGCAGCCGTCATACTGACTCAGGGAAAGGAGACGCGTTTCTGGTCCTCCTAAAGATGAAACATACTTGGTGCCGAACAGTGCA